AAACGAAATATCATTGAAAAGACCAGAAATAAAGAAAAGAACACAAAGAATGTCAGAAGAGACTATGAAATGGGCTTTCCAGCATAGAGATGCTGAAGAAAATGGAAAAGTGAGGAAGTAAAAGAGCTGAACAGAAATTTTTAAAGGGCAGCTTGAGAAGACAAAGTCAAACATTACAGTAAATGTGCAAAGACCTGGAATTATAACACCAAAAGGAAGCAGAATGCTCCGCATTTCTCAAGCCGAAAGAAATGCAGAAAAATGTCTCAAGTCTCAGGTTGCAATATCTAAGGATTCTATGGCTGTGGCGCTGTAAAATAAGCACTCAACTGCAATGTCAGTTTGAACTGCCAGGTCGGCAGTTCAAGTCCACCAGCCACTCCTCCGATACACTATACAGGGTCGAAACTGACTTGATGGCACTTAACAACAACCTGGGTAAAATACTGAATGATCCAGAAGGCATCAAAAGAAGATGGAAGGTATACACAGAGTCACTGTACCAAAAAGAAATGGTCAGTGTTAGACCATTTTAATAGACAGCATATGATCAAGAACCAACAGTACTGAAGGAAGAAGTCCAAGCTGCAATGAAGGCACTGACAAAAAGTAAGGCGCCACGAATTGAAAGAAGACAAATTGAAATCTTTCAACAAACTGATGCAGCACTGGAAGAGGCACTCCCTCATCTACGCCAAGAAATTTGGAAGACAGCTACCTGGCCAAATAATTTGCCTAACTGTGCCTATTCCAAAGAGAGGCGACCAAACAGAATGCGGATCAAACATTATCATTAATATCATAAGCAAGTGAAATTTTGCAGAAGATAATTTAAAAACTACTGCAACAGTTGTACCTTTTGATTAGGTTTTCTGTTACTTCTGTTACATCAAAAACATCTTATTCACAACCTTAATTTAACACAAACAATAGCAGCTAATAGTTACACAAAGCTTATTCTGTACCAGGTAGTTCTGAGCACTTCCTATCAATAACAAGTTTATCAGAACTTCTGAAGTACTGTTGGCCTCACTTTACAATTGAGGAATCCAAGGCGTATAGAGAAGTTAAGTAACTGTCCACTTCAGTTATATAATAGAAGCCCTAATTGGATCTTTCTTGATGACCAGACTTCCTCAAGACTGGAAAATCACCCAACAAGCACAACAATGAAACCTATGAGACCTAGAATTTGAGGGTCTGCCTAGTTTTTCTGTGTCTCCCATGTTATCCCCTTTGACTGGATGCAGTCTTACAACTTTCCCACAGCTATTAGTGAAAAATATTTGCATTTTCATTCCAAAAGGTTTCCACCTTACATAAGTTCTGACTTTCAAAGGTTTTACTGTATATAATAGTGAACTGGATGGCCTCAGTCTCCAGAGGACTGAAAACAGCAGAGGACAGAATAGTTCTTTATCGCTCGATTATCATCGGACTATCTGGAAACTCTGACCTATCCACCTGTCTAACTAGTGTTCCTCCACAGTGAACAAATATTTCAAATTACCTGCCCCATCCTAGTAAAGCATCTAATTGCTAAATTTATATATATGTTTAGCTTCTTTTTTAACCCTACCAAGGAATCCACATTTTCTGTTCTGAGGTACCTGTTGTCACCGCTGCTTCACTAAAGCAAGGGGAAGGGAGACATTTTAGAGAAAAATTACTTTCATTTATTTGTCTATACATTTATTTGTTCATTCATTCATTCTCACCTTGGGCTAAATACAAAAACAAAAACTAAACAGAATTCAATAGACTCCCTAACAGAAGGATTGTCTTGAGCATTTGTACCTAGTGAAACCTCAGACAGAGTTTCATATTTGCTAAACTCTCTGTAAATACCTTCCATATCTTCTCTTAACAAAAGAGAACTACCCAATTCTAAAACAGACCTCCCCCATTCTTCCAAGTACCTCATGTCAAGGTCATTTACAATGATTTGATTGTTATCATAGTAGTTTTCTCTAGCTACTTTCACTGGGTAGCAATTCCTCCAAAAGCACACCCTCCCCACACCCCATGCATGCCCCTCTGTCTAGCTTATAGCAAACTCCCATCTGGACTGATTCACAAATTGCAGATTCAAATGAATGCAATTTAGCACCTGGAAATTTCAGAGCCAATCACTAAAGAAAGCACTGAACTAGGAAGAAATGGCAGTAAAATACACAAAATGAAAAGGAAATAACCAGAAACAGAACCCAAAATAAATGCTCTCCTAATGACTCTTTCTGCCACACTGAAATATTTCTAGAATTAAATTGAAATATCTCTAACATGTTTTTCTAATGTATGATTCATTAGCCTGCCAAGTTCATGAAAATGAATATGTCCTGAATGCCATAATGCTAAGAAGGAAACAAATGAATAAGAACACTGCAACTACGCTGTTGTTAGGTGCCATCAGTTGGGTTCAAACTCAGCGACCCTGTACAGTTTCTGAGGCTATCAATATTTACAACAGCAAAAGCCCTCCCCTTTCTCCTGCGGAGTGGCTGGTGGGTTTGAACTGCTGACCTTGTGGTTAGCAGTGCTTATCCTACAGTACCACCTGCACTCTTTAACTACATTGTTGTTGTTAAATGTCATCGAGTCAGTTCTGACTCATAGCGACACTGCATAGGGTCTTCAAGGAGCAGTTGGTGAGATTGAATCACCGACCTGTGGTTAGCAGTCCAGAGCTTATCCTATAGCACCACACACCAGGACTCCTACTTCCAAAAAGCCAGCCTAGAAAACCCTAGGGAACCCAATCCTACTCCATAGCAATTGATTTAATTTGGGTTTATTATAGTTCTAGAAGTTCCTATGTGGTGCAAACAGTTAAGTGCTTGGTTAGTAACCCAAAAGGTTGGTGGTTTGAATCCACCCAGAAAATAAGGTCTGTCAATCTTCTTTCAAAAGACAACAGCCATTGAAAACCTTAGCGTGCAGTTCTATTTTGAAACACATGGAGTTGCCCTGAACAGAAATAAACTCTATGGCAACTGGTTTGCCTTTTACTTATAAATTTAACTCAATCTTTCAAATATATATTGAGAACCACTTTGCAAAGCATAGTATCGGGGACTATAAAACTTATAAAGCTAAATACATTCAAAATAATCATGCTAGCTGTCACCAAGGGCTTAACCATTTGTACCACCAAGGGACTCCACACAGCTGAGTAAGACAATAACTATTCAAACCATTTTGCATCCCAGGCTTCAAGAGGTCAAGACAAGATTTTGGTAGCAATAAATAATAATACAGGCATTGACTGAAATGAAAATCTTAAAATACATTTACAAATATGCATTGGGCAGCATGTTTACATCTTTCTTGGTAATATTCAAGTTTTTAAAAAGACTTTTAGGTGTGATACTGCTTCTTTGATTATGCTTTTAGAAAGGATTCTTATCTCTAAAAGACACATACTAAAATATTTATGGAAGAAATGCTATGTTTCGGATTTGTTGAAAGTAATCTAAGAGAAGGTTATGGAGACCAAAATAAGATTAGCCATGAATTGCTACAATAGTAAAATGTGAGAGACGGATGGGTGTTCATCATTATACTTTTTAGAGATTTGAATTTCCCATAACAAAGGTCTTTTAAAAAATAGTGTGTCTGTGGCCACTACAAGAATACGCAAGTTGTTCACCAGGCAGCCATCAAGGCAAGCAATCAAGTCCCTTCAGGACAAATCCCTCTCTAAGACTGAAACTCAAAGGGAACACATGAATCAAAACAACACTGAGATATCATCTCACACCAACAATAATAGCAAGATCAAAAAAGTAGTGGACAATAAATGCTGGCGGGGTTTGTGGAGAGACTTGGACACTCCTGCATTGCTGGTGGGACTGCAAAATGGTCCAACCTCTCTGGAAAGCAATATGGCGTTTCCTCAGAAGGTTGAAAATAGAAATACCTTATGATCCAGCAAT